CGCCAGAACGCACTATCATCATGCTGCAGATGGTATGAGTCATGTGGCTGTGATTCTGCTGATCATATTATTACCATGTATATCATATCCCGACCAAGATTAATGGAGCCATACATACCCGGAGCTATGAATCGGAAACGACCGCTCGCTGATTTGTTAACAATGCCTTCGCTTGCATCGTAAAGTTATTTCCTTGCCCTTATCTGCGCAAGTTGCTGTAATCCGACATTTAGATCCTTAAAAGCAACCAAAAAGCGACAGAAGAGCACTTCACAGGTTGGGTAAACCTATGGGATACCCATAGGAAATGGGAAACGGCCTGGGCTGAGAACTGAGTTTGGACGCATCGCCGGTGTGGGTTCGGGTATGGTATGGGTGAGACGTTACGAAATGTGCGATAGATTCTTTAAGGAAACGCTGCAAAATGTTCCTGCTTACACTTCGCTTAGTCACAGTTTCTCTCATTCGCTACTTTGCGATTAACGACACACAAGTAAGCCTGGAGATAAACTTTCTTGAAGCTCTTCCAATAATTCAAACCTTAAGCGCTGGAAAAAATTTAACGGGACAAAGGTGGGTATACTTAGCAAGAATGAGCAGCCGGGGGGGGGAACGTAGTGCAACAGCACCACGGCAGCGAAATGAAGCACCTGAACGTCTCGAGACGGCGCATGCACGGCTTGCTCTCGAGCACGAAAGGCCGGTGCACACCGGTCTCGGGCAACTGCGCACCGATCTCGGTCCACCTGCACACCGGGTACTCGGTCACCTGCACACCAGTCTCGGTAAATTGCGACGATCTCGGTCACTGCACACCGTTCGGTAATTGCGCACCGATCTCGGTCAACTGCACACCGGGCTCGGTCACCTGCACACCGGTCGGTAAATTGCGCACCGATCTCGGTCACCGGCACACGGTCTCGGTAAATTGCGCACCGGTCTCGGTCACCTGCACACCGGTCTCGGTAAATTGCGCACCGATCTCGGTCACCTGCACACCGGTCTCGGTAAATTGCGCACCGATCTCGGTCACCTGCACACCAGTCTCAGTAAATTGCGCACCGATCTCGGTCAACTGCACACCGGTCTCGGTCACCTGCACACCAGTCTCGGTAAATTGCGCACCGATCTCGGTCAACTGCACACCGGTCTCGGTCAACTGCACACCGGTCCCGGCCAACTGCACACCGGTCGGTCGGTGTTGCCGCTCTCTTTGCAACTGACGAATGTTATGTTTCCGCGTTCATTAAACGAAGACAGCTGTACTTTCTTCAAGTTGACGTGTTTTGTGACGGCATGCTTGATCAAGCGCACAATCTGCGAATGCGTTCTAGTTTCTACGGCACTACCCTCAAACAAATGCGCCTCGTGTTGATGAAATCGCATGGGCCTGCAGTCAACGGCCCCGGGTATCCAAGGCCCTTCAAAGCATAACGGACACACAGCTGAAGTAAAAATGTGTTTGCCGCTCAAATGTGACTAGCGCAATTCACCACCTCACTCGCAACCACAGTTATCAGTCTGCAAAGCCCAGTCCGACGTGGCATCTCGATGTATTACACCCATCAAGAAACCGGCCGCTGACGGCAAATCCGGCAGACCATCGCTACACAGCTCGAGCTCGAGCTCGACAAAGACCAGCTCCACACGTCCTCGGCCCGCACGCCGACACTCCGCACGCCAAATATTCAAAAACACATTACACCGGCGCCCCGCCGGACCGGCCGTCGGGCCCTCTCTCCATCAGCCTCCCAGCAGCCGTCAGCTCTCGCCCACCACGGCTCGGCACGCTTCGCACAGCTGGCCGGCGACGGAGGCCGTGTGTCGGAAGCAGCGGTCGCAGCGGAGTGCGCGGGCCGGCGTCAGCGTCACGAGCACGCCGCCCAGCCGGGCGCAGGCCACGGCGTCCGGGTCGTCCGGACCGGCCCGCTGGCGCACCGTCAGCCGCGACACCGGCAGCAGCTCCACCAGCTGGGAGTCGGCGCACGGCTGGCCGCCCGGCCGCTGCAGGGCCTGTCGGACCGAGCGCCGCCGTCAGAGGCCAGGGGTTGAACAGGTCGTGTGCGGATACAGAGCTGAATGCACGGCACACACGCAGGTGTTGGGAGATATAAGACTGGACGATTTCTCGACGTAACTCGTCAGCAAAGTCAGAAGGCGGCCACGAGCCAGCGAGAGCCGGAGGTCGCGGGGGTTGCCTGTGCCGGAGGTCAAGTCGAACCTTTCGGTCTAAGCCGCACCGCCCTTGTCTTTTAGCTACGGGCCCCACTGGAGTAGCCTGCGAGAGGCTCGGTTCTAATCTCATTGCAGTCGTCTGTGCCGAATTCAGTGTTTCAAACCTCACGAAATGGTACGACGTTTCCTCATTTAAGTCAGCAGCAGCCAACACTTACCAAAACACAACAAATCTGCACTGTTTTACTACATGAGTGTTGTCCAATCCGAAACCGATCAACGAACCGTATGCTGATAGCACATAACACACACACACACACACCACACACACACACACACACACACACACACACACACACACACACACACACACACACACACACACACACACACACACACACACACACACACACACACACACACACACACCACACGCACACGCACACGCACACGCACACGCACACGCACACGCACACGCACACGCACACGCACACGCACACGCACACGCACACGCACACGCACACGCACACGCACAAGCACAAGCGTACACGCACACACACAGAGGATATATATACATATATATATATATATATATATATATATATATATATATATATATATATATGTATACCGGTCCACTAGGTTTGCTTTTCCGCTTCAGTATCAACGCTACTAACACAATTAGCGACACAATAGCTCCATTTGAATGTCCCACGTCCTGGAAACATTGTTTTGTACTCTGTGATGCCAAGCCCGACCCCCTGCCCATTATCTCCGGCATTCATCAGCCCCGCGAGGCAACCAGGCCCTCACCATCCAGTCCCGCGGCGTCTATTGTGAACCTTTTTGTAGAACGGTAGCAAATGTTGCCCTAAACAGCTGTCTGGCCGCTAGAGCTACCGTCCCCTCGCAGGCACTGGTGCGGTCACGTCTCTGTCCCATCCCGCTGCAGTCAGTGATGGAGCCTCTCGGGCACGGCGACTGGCAGGGAGACAGACGCCAGCCAAACCAAGCCGTACAAATCGAATGCTCCTACCGCAACACAGTCCTGCCTCACATATCTGTCTTCCCTCAGACCCAGCCTTTCAGCCTGAGTACCGGCAGCCATTCCAGCTCAGTCTCAGCTCCACGGTCGATAGCCGCTGGCCACTGACCACCCCTCTGTGCAGAGCTGCTCTGTACCCTGTACCCACCCCTCTGTACCCTTCAGCCGGCGGACAATGACCAGCCCTCCCACCAGCCGGCGGACACTGACCACCCCTCTCACCAGCCGCTGGACACTGATCACCCCTCTCACCAGCCGGCGGACACTGACCACCCCTCTCACCAGCCGCTGGACAATGACCACCCCTCTCACCAGCCGGCGGACACTGACCACCCCTCTCACCAGCAGGCGGACACTGACCACCCCCTCACCAGCCGGCGGACACTGACCACCCCTTCACCAGCCGGTGAACACTGACCTCCCCTCTCACCAGCCATTGAACACTGACCATCCCCTCGCCAGCCGGCGAACACTGACCACCCCCTCACCAGCCGGCGGAAACGGACCACCCCTCTAACCAGCCGGCGGTCACTGACCAGCCCTCTCACCAGCCGCTTGACACTGGCCACCCCTCCCACCAGCCGCTGGACACTGACCACTCCTCTCACTAGCCGCCGGACACTGACCACCCCTCTCACCACCCGGAGGACACAGACCACTCTCTCGCAAGCCGGAGGACACTGACCACTCCTCTCACCAGCCGGAGGACACTGACCATCCCTCTCACCAGCCGGTGGACACGGAACATCCCTCTCACCAGCACACGGATCACCCCTCTCACCAGTCGGCGGACGAGGACCACCCATCTCACCAGTCGCTGGAAACTGACCACCCCTCTCACCAGCCGGAGGACACGAACCGCCCCTCTCACCAGCCGCTGGACACTGACCACTCCTCTCACCAGCCGCTGGACAATGACCATTCCTCTCACCAGCCGCTGGACAATGACCATTCCTCTCACCAGCCGCTGGACACTGACCACTCCTCTCACCAGCCGCTGGACAATGACCACTCCTCTCACCAGCCGCTGGACAATGACCACCCCTCTCACCAGCCGCTGGACACTGACCACTCCTCTCACTAGCCGCTGGACACTGACCGTGACGGCGTCGCGCCACTCCGGCTCCGCTTCCTGCAGTGTGAGCGTGGCGTCGAACGCCAGCAGGTTGGCGGACGGCACCAGCTTGTGTAGCAGGTCGCGCAGCTGGACGGCCGGCATCACCAGTCGCGCCGCCTCCGGACAACGCCAGTCGTCAGGCACGGCCGGCCAGCCGCGCTTGAACACGGGCGTGTCTGTGCGGGCAGGCGGCGAGCGTCAGGAGGGCAGGCACGGCTAGCCAGCCGCGCTTGAACACGGGCGTGTCTGTGCGGGCAGGCGGCGAACGTCAGAAGGCCAGGCACGGCCGGCCAGCCGCGCTTGAACACGGGCGTGTCTGTGCGGGCAGGCGGCGAGCGTCAGGAGGGCGAGCGCGGCCGGCCAACCGCGCTCGAACACGGGCGTGTCTGTGCGGGCAGGCGGCGAGTGTCAGGAGGGCGAGCGCGGCCGGCCAGCCGCGCTCGAACACTGACGTGTTTGAGTGGGCAGGAAGGGAAGGCGTCAGGAGGGCAGCGGCAGCGGCCAGGAGGAATGGATCCCAGCCCCGTGAGGAGAGACGGCGAGCGTCAGAACGAGGCAACGCCAAGCGGGGGTGGGATGCGTGCAGCAACAACGCTGGAGAACAAGGCCAGGCTGGCAGTGTCAGGCCGAGTGCGGAAACAAACGGTTCAGTTTGGGGAGGCGGCGAGCGTCGGGAGAGCACAGCCAGCGCTTAAGAGTCGGGAGGACACCCGAGACAACGCTGAGGCGTCTGAACGCAAGAAGAAAGTCAATAGGGCAGAAGCGTACCGGCAGGAGAGCACCGAAATGTCTGCGAGAGGGGAGAGGGCAGGCAGCGCGATACAGACGTGTGTAGACCACGGGCGCAAAATCATCTCAAAGCCGGCCCCGTGCCTAAGCCAGCTCACAGGTTTGACAGGCACCGGCCTTCATTACACTGACCGGAGGCCAGCAGCTTCTTGCACTGGGGCGGCGTCACCACACAGACTGTGCTGACCCCGCCCCAGCACCGCCGCCACCGGTCTACCACCCGCTTGGCGCCGCGGCACAGAAATCCCGCATCCCTAGTCGGACCAAGCATTGGAGCATCACTAAGCGGTGAAACTGCACCTCAACGGCCGCGTGCGCCTGCCGCCAACTATTGACAGACGCCCCGACCTGGCGCAACACCGGGCTCAGCATCACCACATGACGCTCAACATCGTGTAGTGCACCGGCCCAGCCGCCCTCCACATCAAACACGTCGACAGACGTCAAACGCAGCACAATACCAGCCTCTGTGTCGGTCTCCCATGTCAATCAGCGAATCCTGCACAGTCGAACACCGCCGCAGCACAACGCCGGCCGAGCACAATGAACGGCACAGGTTCTGACGGACGCTGAGCGGACGCTGAATACTGCGCGCCTGTCACCACTCGTGTCCCAGATAAATGGCCAACGCGCTGACATGCGCGACAGCTAACACTACGCCACGCGGGCCGCGACACGTAACTGCTGACACGCGCGACAGATAACACTACGCTACGCGGGCCGCGACACCGGAGGTGTTGCGTCGCAGCCCTACATGGAACGCCGACGAGCCGAGCGCGCGACACGTGACTGCTGACACGCGCGACAGACAACACTACGCTACGCTGGCCGCGACACGGGAGGTGTTGCGTCGCAGCCATACGTGGAGCGCCGACGAGCCGAGCGCGCGACACGTGACTGCTGACACGCGCGACACATAACACTACGCTACGCGGGCCGCGACACCGGGGGTGTGCGTCGCAGCCCTACATGGAACGCCGACGAGCCGAGCGCGCGACACGTGACTGCTGACCGCGACGAGAACTCTGTCCCCGTCAGGCCAGGCAATTGTCACGGGTGGTTGGAACTGCGCACGGGAGAATCCGTGCACGGCCATCTCCAGGGAAGAAAGGGCGATGGCGTCAAAAGACGCGAGACAGTTTATTGGCTGGCATCACAATCACAGTATCTGGTAAGCAACGTCGACAGGCACCAATGCATAACTGGAGATATACCAGGCCTTAGTGTAGACACGATGCAAGACTCTCTGAAAGCCTGATACCAGCACCATACTGACGTTATGGAGCGTGTCGGGCACTTAGGCCATCTTGCTACCGGCGCCATACCGGCAGTAATCTAATTGTATAGTTGTGGCATTTCCTAATTATCGGGCTATAGACAAAGAGAGCTTCAGTGATATCAGTAGAAACACCAGATCTCGATACGTGCAGCACAGGCCAACATTTTCTGGTGCCAGCGACGTCCTAACATCGCCGCCTATCCATGGAGACAGTACATATGACAATGACTTGTGACAGGGTCACCCGTACCAGAGTACCCAAATCTTGCACCCCTAACACAGATGAGGTGTACACCTGATCCACATACCACACGACAGAAAGCGTCACATACGTTTGTTGGGCCAGCTGAAGACACCAGTACCGAAGGCAACTGTGTAACACAACTTTTCCCAATCTTAGCCTTTGGAATACAGCCTTGCCAGCCGTCAGATGGTTCGCAGCCGCCCGACTCCAAGCTGCTCTGGTTCAGACCGCCGTCCCAGCTGTAGGCTGTGCTCGGTTCGGCCCCGACACTCAGCCTGGTCGTCCCTGCAAGCCCCTGGCGGACAGTCGCGGCCAGAGCATTGGCAAAGGGGGAGAGGGGGCACAGGGTTGACAAAGAGCCTGCTGGCAGTGAAAGGCCCAACCCCCCCCCCAAAAAAAAAGAAATCGTCAGATGTGGCCCAGTTGTAAATGAGGGCACCCTTTGCATTGAAGTTTTCTTTAATTTTCTTACTATAACTGGAAAAGAATCCCGATAATCGGGAAATAAATTCTGACTGATTTTATAGTCAATAAAATGACGAAAGCAGGCGTTAAACGATTGCATGGAATAAATCGCCAGCGCTCTCCATTTGACAGCGGTCCAGTGGACCCTTTCTAAACCGACAGAACTAGAAGCTTCGTCATAACTTTTATCTGGGTCCTGCAGATACATTTGGGACTCCGTGAATGTAGACCAAAACGGGTTAGCAATTTGCATCAGCTGGGAGAAGCCATGCCTGTCTGGAATTGTTCAACATTGTTCAGAATCGATAAGTGATGCAAATTATGCACGCAATGTTGAGCGTGCGCGCTTGCAAATCTTCGTAACAAAACCCTCGACGTAGGCGTTGCAATCTCCGTCAGCAGCGCGGCGTCCGTCCCGTGGCTAATACTAAGCAGTGGCCAACAAGTGGACGAAAGTGATGACGCGTCTCCGAGGAGTGCCTTTGAACGCATTAGGACATCGAATCGTAGATTTAGAAGATAATCCGCGCGCATATTCAGCTGTGCGATTTTTAGACCTGTCAAGAACGGGTTGGCATTCACAACAACGCGAAGTGATACTGGCTGGAATCTGGTGGTAAAACGGAAATGGTAAATGTAGAATCTCTACTTTCCGTGTTGCTGTAGCTGTTCACCAAACCAGAAGATAACCCCCAAGCTGTGAACAAGACACGCCTAGTCTTATCTTTGAACGGCGCGAATCAATTTCGGAAAATTCGGAACCATTATTTCACTACGGCCGTTCTCGCGCAGGGCACGTGGTGTTATTTGCAGTGGCCACGCTGTTCGGTTTTACGGAAACCACAACCCAGACCATCGCTGTCCTCGCTTCCGAGATATCACGCGCGCCGGCTCAAACCCCTTAATAAAATTTGTTTCACTGATCGATTCTACAAAAGAATGAACGCTATCAGGCAAACATGGGATGGCCTTGTTCGCTCTTGAATTCATTTCGAACCACTTTGTCAACGCTACTTGAGATCCCTTATTTCCGGGCAAGGGGTCTCTTGAATGGAACACTGGGGGGCCCATTACTGTTCCCGGTTAAGAGCTTAAGGGCCGTTCCATTCCACGGCGTGGGTGTCTTCCGGCTGCCATTCTGGCGACACGGGGCGGGATTCCGCCGTCGACCCGGGGGCCCTTAGAGGAACGGATCATATCACACTGGTTCCTTCCTGACGCAGATGGCCTTCTGACCCGCGCAGTTGGCTCGGATCGACGCAGGAACCCTCACTGACGCAACAACATCGACAAACATGTCGCAGGTGGCCCAATAATTGGCGCATAGATTCCATTTCGGCTTGAATGGGTCCACGCTGCAATTGAGCTGAAGGGACCGCCGTTCGATACTGGGGCCCTGACTGGCACAGGACCCTTCCACTGTTCCAACGCGAACGCTCATCATAGCGCTCATCATCAAGTTATGTTTCCTTTCATTGTCGGAGGGCCCCGACCAACGAAAGGGATCGTCTGTCATTCCCGGTCCGGTCCCCGTACATGTTAAGCAAATGTTCCCCCGATCGACTCGAGACCCTTTGTTGGCACTGGCACTGGGCCCTTGCCACCGCACTTTGTCGACACTGGCACTGGGCCGTTGACACCGCACTTTGTCAAGCACTGGGACCCTGACCGATGCAGAAGCCCGTCTTGTTGCAGGGGCCTGACTAATGCAAATCGCGGGCCCGGTCTTGTTCCTGCTTGGGAAATGGGCCCCAAGAGCTCAGACTGACAAGGAGCCGACTGTTCGCTGTTCGTGATCTCCGGTCGAAATATAAGAACGCTCTGCCTCAGGGGTCCCCAATAGGCACATGAGACCGCTAGCTGACATTTGTAATCACAGCCCTACGGACGGGGGCACTGAATGTGACCTACAACCAACCCTTCGGGCCCTCCAGCCTTCCAATCGGGCCCTTGATCTTTGGTCCAGAGGGGTCCTTCGACCCTCCTCGGACCTCCTCAAACAAAGCCTGTGACCGACTTGGGGCCACTAGCCGACCCATGACGCCTTGTTAGGCACTGCGGGCCCCTGACCGACACAGCGACCCAGCCATTCTTTCAGGGACCCCAAAAACTGCAATTCGTGGGCCCCGGCCTTGCTCCTGCTAGGAAAACGGGCCTCCAGGGCACCAAATGACAGGGAGTAAACTGTTCGGCGCTCGTGGTCTCGGGTCGACCGAGACACCCGCATGACTCAGGGGATCCTAAAACGGTGGCCGAGGACCTCTGGCTGATATTTTAGGTCACGATCCTACGGACCACGACTCTTTATGTGACCTACAGCCGGTCCATCGGCCCTTATGCCCTCCAACCGAGCCCTTGATCGTCGGTTCCGCTGGGCCGCCCGGGCCTCTCTTCAGGTCTCATCAAACAATGCCCTTGGTCAGCTTGGGGCCCTTGCAAACACAGGACCCCCTGTTAGGTACTGTGGGTCCCTGACAGATACAGGGCCCGACCAGCGAAGTCACTGGCCCCGACTTTGTAGCAGATTGGATGGGCCCTTCGGCCTTTGAAGCCCTGAAGGCCCTCAAGTGGGCCCTCGGGCCCATTCGACACGGAGCTGACTATGCCATACTGGTGGCCCCCACCCGACATATAGGCCATATCGACTCAGAGGGTCCCTGATCGGCGCAAAGAGCCCTTTGGCTGGCATTTGAGGGCCCGTCCCTGAAGGCTGGAGCCCTTGAATAAAACCCGACCAGCACTTCGTGCCTAAAGCCCTCCAACCCGGTTCTTGATTGTCGGTCCTGGTGGGTCCTCACGGCTCTTCAGGCCTCCTGGAACACTACCTCTGGCCGAATCGGGCCCCTTGCCAACATGGGACCCCCTGTTAGAGGCTGCGGACCCCTGACAGACGCTGGGGCCCCGTGCAATGTAAATCGCTGGCTACCGCTTTGTCCCTGCTTAGGGAATGGGCCTTCAGACCCATGTCGGCAAGGTGCTGAGTGTGCGTAATTCGTGGTGTCTGACCGACATATACGTCCTTATCGACTCAGGGGACCCCTGATCAGCGCGCAGGGCCCTCTCGATGGCATTAGAGTACCCGGCTCTGCGGGCCGGGCTCCCGAAGGCGACGTTCGGTTGACCTTTCGGGCCCTCCAGGTCCTCAAATCGGCCCTTGATTGTAGGTTCCAAAGGGTCCTCGGGCCTCTTGGAACCTGAGGGCAGGGGAGGGGGGGGGGGGCACGTGTCCCTTGTGCCTCCCCCCCCCCCTGCGCTACTGGTGGCGGGGAACCGACGCAGTGGTATCATCAGAGTCCAACTCGCCCGCAGGACGACCGTAACTGGATTTGCGCGCCGCCCGGGACGGCAAATACAAGCCGAGCAGTTATCAGCAGTGACGTGCCGTGGCCGGCGGTGCGTTCGCCGTCGGTCGTAATGGTACCGCAGATCAGCCGTGCTCTCGCCCGGCACCACACCAAAGGCAGATCGAGGTCGGGCCGGTGGGACACCGCGGCCTGGGTCACCAGGGTCTGACACCAGGGTCTGACCACGAGGACCACGCCAAGGCTGCCCACCACGACGCCGAAAGTCGGTGGAGGTCTGCCGACGACGGCCGCTGCTGGCCGCTAGTCGAGCCGGCCCCCGCAGCAGCTCAGCCCGGGCCGCCGGGAGCAGCGGCGCCCTCGGCCGTCGTCAGGGGCGGCTCCAGCCGGCGCGCCCCGCCACGCCGTCGGTAGCCGCGCGCTTCCATTCCCATCACGTAGTCGATAACGTCGCCGAATCGGCCGCCAATGCAAACGGATCGCCGACAATCGGCAGTGGCGGCGCGCCGCCGCTCCGGCCGAGGGTCACGTCATTACGGACGCGCCCAGTCAATGGCGATTCACATCGGCGACGATCTGGAGGCGGCGGCCGCGCGTGCGCCATTGACGCCCAGCGCGCGCGGAGAGAGGCGACGCGCGACACGGCGGCGCTGCGGCGGTCGCTGAGAATGTCGCCGCCGGAGAACGCGTGCGTCATTGACGCCCAGCGCGCGCGGAGAGAGGCGACGCGCGACACGGCCGCGCTGCGACGGCCGCTTAGAATGTCGCCGGAGAACGGCGCCGCAAAGCGACGGGCGACGGCCGGGGATTTATTCATTGGCTATATCGGAGCGACCGAGTGGCACTGGAGGAGCTTAGCCCCGGAGTGTGAGCCTGTCTGGGGCTGATCGCGAGCGATGAACGCCGCCGTAACAGCCAGCGATGCGACTGGTCGGGGAGCGATATAAGACTTTCTGACAGCTTGAGCCGCGATAACGTAAATAGTCACTCTTTGACGTGCCACTTTACTTTTCAATACAAAGTAAGCAAGAATTAAGTGACAGCAAGAAACATAAAGTAGCAACAAGCATTAAAGGGCAAGGCTTCAGCCCCATGCTACGCCATTCTAATTTTTTCAGACACATGTCCAGCAGATGAGAGCAGCACTCGTACGATCGCGAGCGATGCCCCATCCGCAGTCAGTTCAGATGTACCGATCCAATGTACCAGTATTGGTGGTGTAGGTTACGGGATACCAGTCGCATCAACAGCCCAGATTCACGGGTACAGATATGACAGCGCGACACATGTCACTGGGGACCTACCAAGCTCTGAGCAAAACCACACGCCAACTCAGACCACCGATAAAACAAGAAGACACAAGCCAAACAGAACATTCCCTGAAGATTTCTAAATCTGGACGGATTTGTAAATGTTTGCCTCGGCGCAGCCTTCATTAATCCGTAAAACTCAATCCGCCAGGTAATATTAATTTCGAAATTAAAAACAGTTGTAAGCCACTGCACGACGTACTCCTCTCAGCGCTCGGCAAGTTTCCGTCGGTAGAAGTCTCCCAGATGTTCATTAAAGCGGAACCTGAAAGGGCGCCTACACGTAAAACTCAACCCGGCTGTCTGTTTACATAGCCTGCATATCATCTTGTGTACCACATTTTTTCGTGTGCAAGTGGGCAGAGCCAGGAACCCTCCCACATCCAAACAGCTTCAGCTGCAGCTGGCCTGGGTGTCCATCGGACAATGCAACGGCCAGGGCGGGGCTGTTCGAGATATGGTACTCGATACGCCTGGAAATGGTCGGGAAGTGATCCCGGGCATCGTAACAGCCCGCGCCAGGGCGTCTGAAATGGGAGCAGGGGCATTCCAGCATCTCCTCACACGGACACGTCCAGTCATCGGAGGATTCACACAAAATGTCCTTGAGCGCGCCGCCTTCGATAAACTACAGCAACGGAACTTTGGCGAGAATGTTGCCAGCTCTGAGAACTCTTGAGAAGCCCCTCGTCCCACTCCACATCCCAGCCGCATGGGCGCCTGTGATCAAGCGCTCACAATTGAAGAGCGCCCCAAGCCCTAGCATGTGCAACCAACAGCGCGGGACTAGGGCCGATGGGAACCGGTGGCCGCGGTGGTCCCGCCTAGGCGCGGAGACAGCGCAGAACTGCGCCCGCCGCTGGCTGGCGGGCGGAGACGGCGCAGAACTGCGCCCGCCGCTGGCGGCCGGTGGCCACAGTGGTCTCGCATAGGCGCGGAGACGGCGCAGAACTGCGCCCCCGCTGGCGCGGTGGCCGCAGTGGCCCCCTGTAGGTGCGGAGACACCGCAGAACTGCGTCCGCCGCTGGCTGGCGGGCGGAGACGGCGCAGAACTGCGCCCGCCGCTGGCGGCCGGTGGCCACAGTGGTCTCGCATAGGCGCGGAGACAGCGCAGAACTGCGCCCGCCGCTGGCAGCGGGTGGCCGCAGTGGCCCCGCCTAGGTGTGGAGACACCGCAGAACTGCGCCCGCCGCTGGCTGGCGGGCGGAGACGGCGCAGAACTACGCCCGCCGCTGGCTGGCGGGCAGAGACAGCGCAGAACTACGCCCGCCGCTGGCTGGCGGGGCCGCCAGACAGTACGTTAGAGCTACCATTTCGTGATATGCCTAATAGCCGGGAAGCAAAAATGGTAGGATGTAAATTCGGTGCCGCACGGATGCTACCGTCCTGAAGTCATAAGGGTTCATGCATTTACACCGCATTTTACCCTTCCAAGGCTTGGTGTAATTGCATATATCTGGCATACGTTTCAAAATTGGTTAACGTGCTGGACGCCACACTGCGTTGGGCCGGCAGACAAACAAGTTTACGTCTGTTGGAGAATGCAAAGGCGATAGTTTCGGAGGCCATCTATGGTCCAAAATGACCGTGTTTACCCCGCTGTCCGACCCACCTCCGTCGGTGCCGTACAGAACCAGCTCCTCGGCCAGGTGCGGCAGGATCGGCGCCATGGTCTGTCGCAACACCGTCAGCACGTGGTGCATGACAGTCAGACCGGACCGACCAGCCTCGCTGTTCAGGTCACCGCAGTACAGCCTGCGGAGCGCCAGGGTCAGGTCAGAGGTCACCACAGCGCAGATCGAGCCGCGACAAGGTCAGGTTGGAGGTCAAGCCGCTCAGGTCACCATAAGACAACTTGGGGGCGAGTCAGGGTCATGTCAGGTCACAATGCGCGTCACCGCGACATGCAACCCGAAGGCACGTCACCATCATCTAGACGTCAATGGCGACCGATCACGCAGGATGAAGTCAGGCGGTAAACCAAATACACAGCCATTGTGATGTTCAAGTGTAATACCTGCCATTAAATCGTGTTCTTTAAAAGCATACATACCACCATCGTACAGATGTTATTACAATCATGCTGTCCGCACACCGCATTATACCGGCATTCTTACCGCATGGTAATAAGTTCGGAAAACCCGGTGAATCATGACCGTTACCGAGATGGAAATCATCTTCAACAATTGCGTGTTTTTTTAAAATTGGCATACAGATATGATGCGCGACTTTGAGCTGCTATTGCCATGAATTTAATCAAGCACACCAAATCTGCAGCCTTTAGCTCCTCTATAGCAGACGGGTTGTAGAGGAGCTAAAACCTTATTACTGATGGCAACATTCTGGTCCCTATGCCTTTCATGTTCTTCCTTATTAATCCTTCATCACGCCCTGCATAATTATCTCAAACGATAATCGATTACTCATCAGGACCCCGCTGCGCGGCCTGGGTCTAATACCAGCTTCATGATCAGCACATCAGCGTGTAAACAACACAATGCGGTGAAACGTGAGAGCACGTCAGAAAATCGATGCCTGCGGTAAACGGACCACTGCGGTCTGCAGCTACCCACGGAGGAGACATGGACTTTGAGCGCAGACTCTCAAAGCCCCCTCCCTCTCTCCCCTCCCCTCTTCCTCTCTCTTTCTCCCTCTCAGGGTACAGCGGCACTGGATTCACAACTCAGCAACGCTAGATACGGGTCTCAGAACGCGCGCAACATCTGGTCCAACAGCACAAACCGCATGACCAGGCCAGATGTCCACCCACGGCCGGAGAGCCGACCTCACACGGCCTGACGACCGTGCCACAGTGCTGCGTGACATTAAACAGACCGGTGCAGGTTCGGTGAGAGCCGACCTCACACGGCCTGACGACCGTGCCACAGTGCTGCATGACATTAAACAGACCGGTGCAGGTTCGGTGCTCAAGGACGCGCCAGCTTCGGCGGTATTCTGCGGCCGCTCGAAAACGATCGTCTGCATGTGTAGCGTCAGGCTACAAATGAGTGGTCAAACTCTTACTAAGCGGTTACGCTGGCGCACTTCAACTGTGGGTCCAGTACAAACCATGGCGATGTCAATGTGTGCTAAACATGCGAGCCCATGTGCGATTTCGCAGCACGGGTACCGGCCAGTCAGCCGGCGGCGGAGCGCTGGTGAGAAATAGCCGCCGTCTGACGGCTCCGTGGCGTAGGCATGAGACTAGACCTGTTCGACGGACAGCCGGCACTCACATATGTTACACCGTGGCACATTCTGGCGCGTGAAATAAAAGGAGTGCGTTGCGCACGTGTAATCTAGCCGGAGCCCACGAGGCGGGTCTTCCAGAAAACGGTTTTCACGGTGGGAGGGCACGCGGTTATCAAGCTCGGGCTTGACCTCTTTGATGGCGTGAACACGCTGGTCACACATGCCCTGACGCGGGTCGCGAGCGTAACTGAATATGACCGACTTAAAGTATTGGGCGGGTTTATACAGTGGTAGCCGTCTACTATCCGCGGTAGCCTCCGCAGCAGCGTCCAATCTCCCATTGTCCAATATTTCAATGTATGGGGATCTGCATGAAGGGGATCCGGGTGTTTACGCTGCTCAACTGCTACAGTTTCTCCAAGATCGATCGTGTCAGAGAACAATGATCACGTGATATCGAAGTTGGGTCCAATGACGAACATGCACTTCGTGAGTCGGTCAACAACTACATCTCTTTCTGGGCGACAAGAAACAAACTGAAGGGCTGCGTAACTGCGTAAAGTTCTTAAGAAAAAAACCGCCGCCTGATCACGGAGGCAGAGACCTAGAGCGTGATTTCCGCAAACAAATGCACAGCCAGCTCCTGTCAGGCGCTTGGGTCCGTCAGGAAAAATGGTGACATTTCAACGTTAAAGAAGTACGCCGCACGGTCAAACAGCCTGCACTTGAAGTCATTGAGAATGTTGCATCGCAACTTTGAAAGAATTGCATCGCTCGTTGTTAAACGTTCCACGGCAGTGAGACCACTGAGTCCAAAGCCACCAGTCAAAAGCATGTCCGACACGGCCACTGGAGTTACACAAGTTTCGATGAAATCGCGTAAAGACCGACTCCGCCTGCGGCCTCGCTCGTAACAACCTGAGCCCAGAGCCGCACCTGGGCATAATTCGCAATCAATCACAGCCTCTAAACAGTACATCATTTCGAAATACTTAGTTTCACAGGTTCAAAGAGAAACATGTGAGCAGCGTCAGCCAACCCGTGACAGCTGCTCACAAACATGACTACCTAGCGCACCGCAGACGTCCCGCGAGACCGCTCCGGCACCTTAGGTGGCGACGCGGCCGAGTCGTGAGCAACATGAGCAACAATGAGCGACAGCGAACCCCCGAGCAACACTTGTTTCACGGGGCGGTCGCTTTCTTGCAGCGAGCGGGCGTGCGCCCGGCTTCTTTTGTCAGTTCCTGGTTTGCACAAGCTACTCTGCAAAAACCCGACTCTGGATATCAATCGCCGATGGTTATTTCGCAAACAGCAACGCGTGGGCCCTTGATTCCATCCCCTCTTTCATATAACGGGGCTTGGTTCGTGATTCTCGGTCATTCTTTCGCAAAAACTTAACACTGGCTCCCAGCTCCCATCGGTTCTTCCACAAACACCAGACGCTGGATCCTGGATCTGGTATGTCCCTGGATCCTGGATCTGAACCTGGTGCATGTACGTGCACGGTGCGCCACGCACCATGTTACATAGGCACCGCCAGTGCGTCGACATGCTGTGACGCACCACCACAAGCGTGGCCTAGCTTCACAAAGCAGCACTACGACCTCACGCATTTCTAAATTGCGTCGTGGCAGGCAGGAAACACAAAATAAGCCAATTCTGCTTGCCCTGGCCATTGTGCCATTGTAAAAACAACGCGCCGGTTAAACGAATGTGCATTTGTTCCGGGGGTCCATGTGATGTAAATCGAAAGAACGTAAATTCGCACTCGTATTATATATAAGCAGACCACTAGACCGACGCACCCTGTGGCGCGCTGTCACAGACAGCAAACCCTGCATCCGTTTGGTTTTAGCGTAAATGCAACAGCCCAGTCCCTTGTTTCCATTGGGCCTGTGACTGCTCGATCACGCGAAACGACACGCACAACAGCACTTCAGCTTCCGTGCACATACTGTCACCCGCCTGGGATACCCCGATTGCGCGTCTGCAACAATGCAGGATCTTGCGTGGCATATGGCGGACGAGCTGACCATCAAAAAAGGTCAATCCTTACATGGAAGCAGATCATTACAAATCCTTACATTATTTCACACTTATGACGCATATGTCACAAATGCGTCGGAGCTGACCAGTGAGCGTGATACCCGCCTCTCGCGGTGACGCGGGAGCGAACGTGACGGCCAGCTGCGTGTTCTGCGCATGCGCAACGGGTTGGCTCGGCGCCAGCTGCTGAGCCGAGCCACCCAGGCGTGGAACGATCTTCCAGCTGATGGAAGAGCCGTGCCCAACCGTGCGGCTTTCAAAACCAGCGTGGCAGAAGGCGTGTGCGTCACTGAGCACGTTTCTGCCGCCAACCCGCATGGGCATTAGTGGTATTAAAAGGCGGTTCGTAGCTTGTGTTGATTTTACTGACCTTTGCCAATGTTCGCGGCGCAGAAAACTGACCAAAATCGAATGTGTTACCCAAATTCATGAATTACTTGTGCTGAGTGGAACGCATAAATGGGACCTAACCGGGAAAAAATTCAAGGTAAGATTTTGGGTCTTGTTGGTTTTCTTGGAGCGACTGTAATGTATCGAAGGACCATGTTGGACCGTGTGTGTAGAGTCTGGACGAGTCTTAGTTTTCACTTGAGCCCTTGCCGTACCTCATACTAGATCTTGATGGTTCCTTTTGCGTACTGTGGCTCAGTGAAACAGAAAAAGACGGAAAATGTGCGTGCGTGTTTCATGCTGGAGATTTAAACGGCTTATACTGGAGACAGAGAGACGGCGAGACGGGGAGACGGGGAGACTGTGAGACGGGAGAAACGGAGACCGGGATAGGGAACCAGACGAAGACCGAGACGGAGAGGAAATCACACGCCCGAAGCGCGCTAAAGAGGGCGCTCTTTGGCCGTGAGGTAAGCGCCGACGCCCGCTC